ATTTTCTAATACATCTGCAGAACTGGAACTAAATGATAGGTCTCGAATGCAAGCAAGTGTCTTCCTGCTTTGGGCCTCCTTGTCCTCCTTGCCCAGAGGAAGGACTTGATCAGTGTCGCAGTCTATTTTAGTTGCTTTGACAGAATACTTGAGAACAGATAATTTGTAGAAATTTGAGGTTTTTTTGTTTTGTTTTAAAATTTTATTGGAAAAAATAAATAAATAAATAAAGTTTTATTGGAAAGGCATAGTTGGCTTATCCTTTGCCTGCAAGTTCTGGCATCCCATATGAGCACCAGTTTATGTCCTGGCTGTTCCAATTCCCATGCAGCTCCCTGGTTGTAGCCTGGGTAAGCAGTAGAGGACAGTCCAAAGCCTTGGGAACATGTGCACATGTGGGAGACCCAAGACTCTCCTGGCTTCTGGCTAAGGATTGGTTCAGCCCCAGCCATTGTGACCATTTGGGAAATGAACTAGGAGATGGAAGATCTTCCTCCTCTTTCTCTGCTTCTCTGTAAAAATCTGCCTTTCCAGGGCCTGGTGCAGTGGCCTAGTGGCTAAAGTCCTTGCCTTGAATGTGCCGGGATCCCACATGGGCACTGGTTCTAATCCCAGCAGCTCCACTTCCCATCCAGCTCCCCACTTGTGGCCTGGGAAAACAATCTAGGACAACCCAGTCTTGGGACCCTGCACCCGTGTGGGATACCCAGAGGAAGTTCCTGGCTTTAGATTAGCGCAACACCCGCTGTTGTGGTCACTTGGGGAGTGAATCATCGGACAGAAGATCTTCCTCTCTGATGCTCCTCCTCTCTATATCTGACATTGCAATAAAAATAAATCTTAAAAAAAAAAAATCTGCCTTTCCACACTTGATCTTAGCCACAAGGCCGAGAAGCGATGCCTTTCCAATAAACATAAATGAATCTTTCAAAAAAAAATTTTGGGGGGAAAAAAAGGCAGAGTTATCGTAAGGAAGGAGGGGAAAAGCTGTATATTCTAGCCACTGATAATGGCCAGGACTGGGTCAGGCCGAAGCCAGGAACCCAGAACTCCATCCAGATCTCCCATGTAGGTAGCTGGTAGGGCCCCAAGCGCTTGGACCATCTTTGACTCCTTTACAGCCACATTAGCAGAGAAGTGGATTGGAAGTGGAGCTCCCAGGACTTGAACCATTAACCCGTATGAAATGCTGGCATCACAAGTAAACAGTTTAACCCACTGTTTGACACCATTAGCCCATAATTAGTTTAAAATTCTGGGTACCCCAAGAGGTGGTTGCCTACATCTGCTCAGCATCTGATAAAGAGCCCTCTGTCTGCATTATAACATGACACGGGACATCACATGTAGAGATGGAGCAAGCTTGCCAGAGAGCTCACTTTTTTTTCTTTTTTTAAATATTTATTTTACTTTTATTTGAAAGCAGTGTTACAGAGAGGAATCTTCCATCTCCTGGTTAATTCCCCAAGTGGTCACAATGTCTGAAGTTGGCTGGGCCTATGACAGCAGCCAGGAGCTTCTTCCTGGTCTCCCATGTAGTGCAGGGTCTCAAGGCCTTGGGCTATCCTCTACTTCTTTCCTCATCAGGAGGGAGCTGGATGGGAAGTGGAGCAACTGGGTGTGAACCAGTGCTCATATGGGATGCAGGCAGATTAGCTAGCTACATCACTGCACTGGCCCTGTGATCTCACTTTTATAACAGTCATTCTTACAATATAATATATTAATCAGCTCCTATAGGTTCTACTTCTCAAGTCCATGATTTTTGAGATTAAAATTCTGATATGTGGAATTTAGGGGACTTGACTTCATTTACTGAGGACAGTGGCAACATTGGATTTAGGAGAAGGAAGCATGAAGAGTTATATCCTTGTAGCTCTGATCCTAATTGATTCTTTTAACCCCAAGATGTTTTAGATTAGGTCACTGTTTCTGTCTCTCAGGTTTCTTGCAAAGCTTTTACTTGAAGCAGTCTTGGCTGATCTGCCTTAAAGATGGTCCAAGTTACTTGACCAGTAAAATATTCCCCTTAGCTCTGTGGGGCTCTTTTTTTTTTTTTTTTTTTTTTTTTTTTTTTTAATTTTCAGAGCTCTTCATATTTTCAGAGCTCTTCATATATTCTTCCCATGAGTTAGGGTTGTTTGTTTTAAGGGAAAGTGATAGTACCTTGAGGTAGCAGATGGAGTGACTGGACTGAGGGTATGAAGAGAGGTGTGAGGGGTCTGCTTTGGGAGAAGGGTTGATACATGGAACAGTACAGGGCCCTGGATGGAGCCCTGGTGGGCTTCCAGTGGCAAAGGGAAGTGTGTCTTAATCCATGTTGAACATGGATGAAGAAGAGTGTTCCGTTTGGTTGGAGGAGGGAGTGTGAGTGAGGCAGGCACTACTAAAGAAAATGATTTGAGGGGTCACCACTGTGACATAGTAAGAGGCTGACGTTCCAGGTGTGGTGCCAGCATCCTATGTGGGTACCACTTTGAGTCTTGGATGCTCTACTTCCAATCCAATTTCATGCTTATGGCCTGGGAAAGAAGCAGAGTTAGGACTTAAGTCCTTGTGTCCCTGCACACATGTGGGAGACTTGGAGGAAGCTTCCATGGCTTCAGATCAGCTCAACTCCAGCCATTGTGTCCATTTGGGCAGTGAACCAGCAGGTGGAAGATCTCTCTAGCTCTTCTTTCCTTTTTGCTAACTCTATCTTTCAAATTAAAAAAAAAAAAAAAAGATTTGAATGTTAGCTGGCTGTTTGAGCTAGGAGCTTCACTCTATTGAAAGGCAAGATCCTTATTGTGGGAAGGGGGGAGACGATGGGGGAAACCACTCAGGACTTTCCAAGTGTCCCAGTACACAGGGCTCACATGGTCTCAGTAGCCTCTGGCTCCATATAATCATGACTGGGAACACATACTGTGGCTGCCAAGTGACTCTTTGGCAGCCTTTGTTCGTACATTTTTGTAGCTAACACCTACTGAGTGCCTGCTGTGGGCAAGGCTTCATTTCACTTCTGCAAGGCAGCACATAAAATGTCCAGCAATTCTGAATTTACATCTCTTATTGCCCAGGTCCGTAACCATGCTGGAAAGTGGGACAGTGATTTTGATGATGACCTGTAGTGCAGCACTGCACCCAGGCCAGGCACACCAAGGAGCAAGGATCCATGCTGTGTTGGCACGAGGATGAGGAAGGAGTTTCTGTTGCAGAGGCATTTTTAATATTTCAGAACCTTGTTCTTCATCTCTAATCCCTTGGTGTATAAATCCTTTGAATCTGGAAGCCATAAAGAATTAAAAACAGATACTGTTTCTTTGTATATGTATATACATATATATAATTATAAACAAATATAATTTAAATTTTTATTTTTTAAAGGCAGAATTACAGGGATGGTGGAGAGAAGCAGAAGGAGAGATCTTGCATCTTGCTGGTTCACTCTGCAAATGGTTACAGTGACTGTGGCTAGGCCAGGAGTGAGGAACCTCCATTTGGATCTCCCCTGGGGTGGCAGAGGCAAAAAGCACTTGGACCACCTTCCTTTGCTTTCCCAGGGTTGTGAGCAGCGAGCTGGATTGGGAGCAGAGTAGCTAAATTTGGAGTGATGCTCCTCCGGGATGGCAGCATTGCTTAACTTGCCTAACCTCAATTGGTGGCTTAACATGCTATTCACAATGCTAGCCCCTAAAGACAAGTACTTTAAGTGGTACAAATACTTGTTTATTTATCAAAACTAGCATTTGTAGTCTGTTGCATTGCAGACACTATGCCAAGTACTTGCAGTATCTCATTTAGTGTGTACAACAGCTCAAGGGACAGGAGAATACTAGTATTTTTATCTGCCATTTCATGATTGAATTGCCATGGGTCCTTGTGTACAGCTGTCAACTGTCATATCCAGAGCTAAAGGCAAGCTGTGTTATCCTTCATACACACCCATGGTGAATAAAATCTGATAAATGTGTGTGGGGGGGTATTTTAGAGAAACTGAACCTAACGGTGCATCAGCCTTTAGTCATTGCTGATCAGGACCCCAGGTTTTCATGAGTTTAGCCTGAAGCTGGCACTTTGTGCTGTGTGTTTAATTGATCCTTTCTCTTTCCAGGAAGCGAGCACACCACTCCCAGATGGGCTGAGTGCCACGGAGCCCCTGAGTGCAGCCCAGAGGGAGATCCAGCGCCAGTCCACACTGCAGCTGCTGCGCAAAGTTCTGCAGATCCCTGAGAATGAGTCAGAGCTGGCTGAGGTCTTTGCCTTGATTCATGAACTCAATAACTCTCGACTTATCCTGTCCAACGTGAGTGAGGAGACAGTCACCATCGAGCAAACCTCTTGGTCGAATTATTATGAGTCTCCATCCACACAGTGCCTTCTCTGTGGCAGCCCGTTATTCAAAGGGGGACAGAAGTAAGCACCCTTTTCTTTGCCACTGGCTGCCGCATCCCGCTTGGCTCGTGTCAGTCAGTGTTGGGACTGTGAGCTGTGAAGTGATTCTTCGCGCTCTCTAGACCTCTTGTTTTACCTTTATAGTTGCTAGAAATACAGTAATGGTATCATTCCTGCTGAAAATTAGCGTGAGTTTAGGATTCAGTGTGCATTTAGACTGTCCAGCAGCATACTGTTTGGGTTTGAGAGTTGTTGGCTAACTTAACATAATAAAATGAGAGTTGTGGTTGTCATAGGGACATTACTGTGGACTGCATTCAAACAAAGTGGAAACTCACACCTAAAAAAATCATAGAATCCAAATCCAGCACCTTTTGCTTGTGTTAAAAGTCATGAGAGTTCTGTCATTGATTGCTGGATCCTGGAACTGGATATAGAGGTTGAGTCTCTTTTTGTTGGTGATGGCTTTGGTTTTAGCTCTGTGGCAGGACCCCAGGAGTGCTGGCTGCTGACAGCCAATCGGCTGCAGATGGTGACTGCCCAGGTGAAGATGTGTCTGAACCCCCACTGTCTGGCCCTGCACAGCTTCATGGACATCTACACAGGTGGGTGCCCACCTTCTCTTGCCTCAGAGCACCACAGTGAGCAGACTTGGGAACTACCTCCGTGCTCGGTAGTGCTTTGAGCACTAGACCTCTCTGGGGCTGCAGAGGAAGAGGGGCTCCTCTGTCTGAGTGTCTCAGCCTCCAGAGGAGATGGCTATCCTTATCCAGGATCTTGAAACCACAGTTGGAAGATGGTGGCGCTTCTGCCGAACTCCAGCACCGTGACGTGGGATGCAAGTGTGTGAACTGCCAGGCTCAATGCTTGCTCCTACCTGACCATTTTTAAAGGGATGTGTGTTTATTATGAACAGTCCTACAGATAATGAAATCTTTATTTTTTTCTGGACAACTGCTGAGGCTGAAAAATGTGACTTCTGCTTTTTACCCTTTATACCACAGCATTCATCAACATAGAGCATTTTCTCAAACACTGTATACTAACTATTGCAAGAGGTTTTTTTTTTTTTTTTTTTTTTTTTTTTTTTTTTTTTTTTTTTTTTCATTGGAAAGGCGGATATACAGAGAGGAGAGACAGAGAGGAAGATCTTCCGTCCGATGATTCACTCCCCAAGTGAGCGTAACGGGCCGATACTATGCCGATCCGAAGCCAGGAGCCTCTTCCGGGTCTCCCACGCGGGTGCAGGTTCCCAAAGCTTTGGGCCGTCCTCAACTGCTTTCCCGGGCCACAGGCAGGGAGCTGGCAGGGAAGCGGGGCTGCCGGGATTAGAACCAGCGCCCATATGGGATCCCGGGCGTGCAAGGCGAGGACCTTTAACCACTTGCGCCACCGCGCCGGGCCCGTATTGCAAGAGTTTTAATCCAAGATTTTAGATGTAGGACTGAGTGCTGAAGATAAAAAATGTTTTCTGTTTGCTTTCCATCTCTTAGTAGTGCTTTACTCTGAATCCGTGTTTTCAGTAAGCCTTAAATTGCCAGTTTGAGTTTGTACTGTTACTTTATGCTCTTGTTAACAGCAAATAAGATTGCGTATTTCCCTGCAGCCATTATGTTTGAACTAGTCCTCAAGTGTCTCATTAAATATATTTTTACACTTAGTTACAGTAAGGTTTACTTTGTTACACAGTTTGGAGAGCCCTGACAGTTGCACTAAACTGTGTAACTCAGTCACGCTTACAGAACAGTTCAGTCACCATAACACATTCTCTTGTATCATGCTTTCCTGACAAACCTGCCCCAACCTTGGACAACTCTTTGATTCCTTCAAGCCTGCGATGTTCTTATCTCTAGAATGGCTTGCAGATACAGTAATAGTATGTAGCCTTTTGACTCTGCATCTTCCAGGAAGCAAAATCCTTAGTGATTCATCCATGTTTTCTATTTGTCATTGATTTGTTCCTTGTTATTGCTGAGTAGTTTCTCACTATGTGAGTGTACCCGTGTATATATCACCCATTAATAGATGAGTAAATGCTTTTTTGCACTGCTACTAGATCTTGGCAAATATAATAGAGCTGGTACAAACATTCATATACGGACATCTATGTGAATCTAGGTTTGCCTTTCTCTTGTAAATGCATACTTACGAGTTACATTGCTGAGTCATATGGCAAGTATATCTTATTTATTTATTTAAAGACTTATTTATTTTGTTGGAAAGTCAGATATATAGAAAAGAGAAGAGACAGAGGAAGATCTTCCATCTGCAAGTTCGCTCAAGTGGCAGCAATGGCTGGAGCTCAGCCAATCTGAAGCCAGGAGCCTCTTCCGGGTCTCCCAAGCAGGTGCAAGGTCCCAAGGCCTTGGACCGTACCTCACTGCTTTCCAAGGCCACAAGCAGGGAGCTGGATGGGAAGTGGGGCTGCCAGGACACAAACTGGCACTCATATGGGATCCTGGCACAGGCAAAGTGAGGACTTTAGGCACTAGGCTGTTGTGTTAGGCCCATTTTTATTTATTTATTAAAAGCATGTGTTCCAGTGGTAGTTTTTTGAGAAGATTTTTGGGCTTGTCGTGGTAGCTTGGCAGCTAAGATCCTCGCCTTGTATATGCCAGGATCCCGTACAAGTACCAGTTCTAAACCCAGCAACCCCGTGTCCCATCCAGCTCCCTGCTTGTGTCCTGGCAGAGCAGTAAAGGATGGCCCAAAGTTTTGGGACCCTGCACCCATGTGAGCTCCTGGCTCCTGCCTTCAGATCGGTGCAACTCTGGCCGTTGCGGCCATGTGGGGAGTAAACCAGCAGAAAGAAGATCTCTCTCTCTGTGTATCTGACTTTCCAATAAAAATAAATCTTTTTTTAAAAATTGTAAGATTTTCTTTGAGAGGCATATTTGCACAGAGAGAAGAGAGAGAAATCTTCCATCTTCTGGTTCACTCCCCAAGTGGCCACAGCAACTGGAGCTGAGTCAATCCAAAGCCAAGAGCGTCTTGTAGATTTCCCATGTAGCCGCAGGGGCCTGAGGACTGTGTCATACTTCGCTGCTTCTGCAGGCCATAAGTAGGGAAGTGGCGCCGTCTAAACTAGGACTGGCGCATACAGGATGCTGGTGCTACAAGGTGGAGGGTTAGCTTGTTGCCACTGTGCCAGCCCCATGTAAATTTTTAATGTTACAAAACCATTACAAAACCCTTTACCACAGTGGCTGTACCATTTTGCATTCCTTCTACCAACATGTGAGAATTCCAGTAAGCTTTGCCTGTTCTCACTTTGTATTTTTTTTTTGGTGCTGCTGGTTTTTAGCCATTCCAATAAGAGTATACAGTTGTCTTGTTGAGGTTTTAATTTTTCTTAGTGACTAATGATGTACGTATGTCTACATGTCATCTCAACAGTTACCTTTTAGGCTTCTGTATGATAGCTTTTTGGACACAGATTTTCATTCACATTTTCTGAGTAACCAGAATTTGTTCTATGTGGTCTCAGCTCTTGTACACCTGTTTAGAAACTAGCTAGTCCTCGCTATCCTTCTTTACAAGGAACATATATTCCAAAATTTGCTTTTGTGTAAATTTGTGGTTTTTGGACAAGTGTAAAATTGCCCTCTTTTGTGGTAAATTATGTTTAATTTTCTCTGGTTATTTGATTTTGGGATGGGGTGATGACCCTTTGCTACAGCTCCAGAACTTACCTGGGCTAAAGGTCTCCCTGCTTTTCTTCTGGTGTCTGTGTGTGAGAGGTGAAGGAGCCACACTTCCTGTCCTGAGGACAGAACTGGTTGGTGCGGGCAGAGGAGGGATGTTGTTTTGGGAGGAGGAAAGAAGGTGCTGTGCTACATGTTAGCTTACTGCATTGGGATTACAACTTTTTGTCAGGATGTGTTAGGGCTTTCTGTAACGACACATTTTGCTCTTTTATAAACACAAACTCATTTAAATCCCTGTGCCTCTATTGCTGAGCATTGAGTTGATGTTCTGCTTTGTCCCTCTGCTGTGTGTTCCACTGAAGTTCCTTGTTGCCTCTGCAGGTCTCTTTAATGTGGGGAACAAGCTGCTAGTGAGCCTAGACTTGCTTTTTGCAATCCGAAACCAAATCAAGCTGGGAGAGGACCCCAGAGTGTCCGTCAGCCTCGTGTTGAAGTCGGTGCAGGAGCAGACAGGTACCAGTTATCCTTCTTATCCTTCTGCACCACTGGTCCGAAACTTCCTTGGAAGTTTCCATGGTTGACTTCAGTTGGAAAAGTCATTTGAGGGAGGAGACTAATACTTTGAAAATTGTTGACTCGTTAAAGCACTCTTCCTTCAGTGCTTCACAGCTGCCATGCTAACTTTGAAAGGTGCGAGCCTTTCCATGCATCTACAGACTTAATAGCAAGTGGCTTACAGTAGACTTTTAGGATACATCTTTAAGTACAGGTAGGTTCATTGTGAATGCATCATTTGCAGGTATCTGTTCCCAGTTGCACAGTTCGTGCTTAGACTGTCCAGAAGATACTATTGCCTTCGCTGTTTTTGCTTCCCTAGTCCATCCCTGCAAGCTCGTATTCATCTGCATGCTGTGAGGACAGACAGGGCAGAGTGAAGGTGGTGCTAGTGCACACACCTGCCTTTGGGCGCTGTCCGTTTAGTGGCACTGTGACTTGGAGATACTTACTCTGCTCTAATTCTCCAAGTGCTAGCTGAAGATAATAATGCTTTCTGAAAGTTCATGAAGAATTAATGTAAGAATTCAGTGAGAATGTTCAGAGCACTCAGCAGATCCCCTGCTGGTGCTAACACAGCCAGCCAGCCAGCCACCCAGCCACCCAGCACCGACCAGACCTCCCAGCAAGCTGCCCGCTGAGTGCTCGAAGGCCAGCTGAGTTAGGGCTCTAGCTGTCTTCAGTGGGGAAGCATTCCTCTAAGGTTGCTATTCTAGCCAGCCTGTTCCTAGTGGCTTCAGTTTGCTTTTTGTGACCTCTGAGCTCTTGCTTTCTTTTTTTCCAGAGAAGACCCTGACCTCAGAGGTGCTGGGCCAGCTGCAGGAGCTGCTGTGCAACGGCTATTGGGCTTTTGAGTGCCTCACTGTCCGAGACTACAATGACATGATCTGTGGCATCTGCGGGGTGGCCCCCACAGTGGAAATGGCCCAGAGGAGCGAGGAGACCGTACTGGCTCTGAAGAGCATGGAGGTTAGTGCTGGTCAGCCACCCCACTGTGGCAGGCTTACGTGCAGTCTGTTGTTGGTAGCTACCTTCTTGCCTGCTGTCCCCCGGGGCAGTCTTGCCAAGGCAAGACAAGTGGCATGCCCTTGCTCACAGTACCTCCTGAGACTGAGCTCTTGGTTTGCCAATTATGTCTGGCCACAGAGAGCTTTGGATTTTCAGGATAGACAAGTGGGATCCTGGAACTCCATCCAGGTCTTCCATTTGAATGGCAGGGGCCCAAGTCCATAATCTGCTGCTGTCTCAGCAGATTAGCAGAGAGCTGGATTTGAAAGGAGCAGACAAGGCTCAAACCAGTGCTCTCATAGGGGTGCTCATATTGCAGGCAGTGGCCTAATCCACTGCACCACAACATCAGCCCAGAAAATTGTTTTAAATGAAAAATTAGAATTGGACTCCATAGAGACTGACATATAGCTCAGGTATTTGCATTTATAATAAATAACCCCAAACTAAGGCAGTAATCAGGTAGTGAAATTATGGTTACACTTCAAGGACCGTAAAAGAGGGCCAGTAAGGAAAAGTGACCAGCCACAGTGCTGAGTGCCTGAAATAGATAATGCTGCCTGGAGTAGAGGAGTTGGCTATGTGTGGACACGGTCCAGGAGGGCTTGGAAGGAGGTAAGGAAATTCCAGGGCCTTGAAAAATGTGAGTGGAATTCTCTTAGGTAGTATTCTGGTTGTTCTTGCCAGGAGATTGAGGACTGGGTTTGGGTACAGAACTTCCGCTCATGTCTTTGGTCTGTGCCTTTGTAATTTTATTCCAGACTTCTGCCTTAACAACTAGGAAGTGTCTGGCATCCCTAACAACTAAACAAGTAGTATTTCCGCTTTCCTTGCAGCACAGGAAAGATGGCATGTGTCAAGGTGAATGATGTGAATATAGAAGCAGAAGGGACCCAAGGCCCATCTGAGCCTGGGAGACTCCTGTGGTATGGGAGGAAGAAAAGTGGAAGCAGGACTGGGTCCTGAGCCCCAGGGGTTTTGGTTTTCCCTTGTGTCTGAGATGGTGACTCAAATAGTGTGGCTTTTGTATTTTTATCTTTATCTTTCAGTTTACTTGGCCTGAATTCATGGGCTCCAATGAGGTAAACATGGAAGACTTCTGGGCCACAATGGAAACAGAGGTGATAGAGCAGGTGGCATTTCCTGCCAGCATCCCCATCACCAAGTTTGATGCCTCTGTTATCGCCCCCTTCTTCCCGCCCCTCATGAGAGGAGCTGTGGTTGTCAACACTGAAAAAGACAAAAACCTGGATGTGCAGCCAGTAACTGGTAAGGCCTGCTAGTGGCTGATAGAGGTCATGGAGGGGCTCAGCCAGTAGGCTAGGATAGTAGCCCAGCAAGAGGGCTTCTTGGGAAAAGATGCTGTCAGCCAGTGACAAAATTGCTTAGAGTCAGGGTGCAGCTTTCAGGATCCAGCAGCCATTCTGTAGGATGGACACAGCTGGCTGTGCACTTCTGGGCATGTATGTATATATTGATATCTATAAGAGAAGAAAATTTCATAAAAACACTCTCTCCATTATGTGTAATAAACTTTTTTTTAAACTTTAGATAGGCCTTCCTATGTTGACTGCTAAATGCATAGTAGATCCACTGATTCTTAAGTAGTGCTTCCTAACACTAGGTCTTAAGGTTCCCCCACCACACACTTGCTGCTCCAGAGCCGAGGAATGGTTTCCTTAAGCCTCCATCCACCCCAGCTCTCCCACTCAGCGGGGTTCAGGAGTGCGGTGCATAGACAACATTCTAAAAATAGGAGCTACTATTGCTGCTGAGGCTACGGTAAGCATCTGAGATCTTGGTTCAGAAAGACATCAGACTTTGAATTGAAAGCATTTTTCTTTTTTTGCAACAGCTTTCTGCTAGATATCCCACTTAGACATTCTAGAGTGAGAAGTCATAGATCTGTCTTGCACAGAAGGGTGGCTGGTGGCAGTGCCCTTCCATTGGCACCTTTGTGTCTTGCCAGGCAATGGCAGTGCCTTAGTGAGGCTGCTCCAAGAGGGCACCTGCAGGCTGGAAGATATTGGTTCCTACAGCGAGGACAAGCTGCGGCACCTGCTGGAGCAATGTGATATTCCCTTTGGGGCAGAAGACTCTAAGGTGAGTGTCCCAGGTAGCCATGAATATTGGTACCCTGGGAACAGGCTGGGGGGGGGTCCACTTTCTGGCAGGAATGTGAACTCAGACATAGGAAACTGGCAGTCACACCATGAGGCCTGTGCCTGCTATTGACTAGTCTAAACTTGGGGCTCTCCAGCTGTCTGTGGGGTCTTGGAGGAATCAGTCTGTATTTGGAGTTTTATTGGCCTCGTCTATGAAATAACCAAAATACCTTACCCATTGTCTGATTTTCAAGCTCTTAGAAAATGATTATATATGCATGACGTATAGGCATTTTTTGGGTAAGGATTTTATTTAATTGAAAGGCAGAGTTAGAGGGATAGGAGATAGCTCTTCGATACACTGGTTCATTTTCCACAAGGTTACAATCACAGGCTAAAGCCAGGAACTTAATTGAGGTCTCCCACTGCTTTCACAATTTTAGGGAATTGGATTGGAGTTGAACAGCTAGTACTTGAACCTACACCCATACGGGATGCCAATGCTGCAGGTAGTGGCTCTCCCACTACGCCAGTCCTGTTATGAATCTCACTTCCTTCATGATGAGATTCAAATGTTAGCCCCTGTTGGCTTTGCCTTTCCAAGGCACTCCAGTCCCTAGCAGAGGTTGGCATAGTGCAGCTCCTGTGTTAACTATTAAAAGTGTTTGCACTGAGAACCGACTCCTTACCATTTGCCTGTGGTTTTAATTTTGTCTTTCCCCTCCAGGACCAGCTCTGCTTCTCCTTATTGGCCCTCTATGAATCTGTACAGAATGGAGCAAGAGCTAGACAGCCACCCCCTCAGTTCACAGGAGGTAAAATCTACAAGGTGTGCCCTCATCAGGTAAGAGAGGAACTTGAGCAGAGTTGACTGTTGTTCAGCTGTCCGGTTTGCTCCAGCCCCTTCTTAGAATTGAGGCCTGGGAACATGTGGGATGGCAGTCTAAGGTCAGGCTCCACCCTTAGCCTAGGGCAGGAGTGTGGGGCTCTGCTTCAGCTGCCGAGGGCCAAAGGAGCAAAGAACCACCATGTCATTTCTCCCCAGTTGAGCTATTTTAGGGGGAGAGGTTTAAGATACCCCAGCCTGTTGCAGTAGCTCCAGGGAAGGTCAGAGGTAGAAAGTAGTGGGGAGCAGAAGGGGCTGAGCCCTGGGCCAGGTAAGGAAAGGAGTGGCCCTGATGTACCCCAGTGATTGGGTGGGGCACAGATCATACCATATTCTAGAAGAGTATGCTCTGGGGTAGGACCCAGTCCCATCAGTACTGGCCAGCTGCACAGGGAGTGGGGTTATTAGCAGTGCCTCTAACCATAGTGCCCACAGGCCTCTTCCCAGAGCATTCTCCAGTCCTAGACTAAGCTCTTAGAGGGAAGGTGGTGTGAAGGCAAGCTTCTGCAGGGTATCCACTTACCTAGAAGTGAAACAGGGCTGGGGCCTGTTAGTGCTGATGTAGTGCATCTGGGCTCCCAGCTGAGTCACACACTGTGGCCTGGTGAGCAGCTAGCGTAAGTACATACGTTGAGACCCTGACTTGTACATTTGTGGCCCAGGAGTCTCCTTTTTAGGCTGGTGTTAACAAGGATGTTCTGAGCTAAGAACAGGTTGTTGTCCCCTCTTAAGTAAGCAAGGATAAGCTACCAACAAACAAGAAGGAGGAGGGAGCAGAATGGCTGTGCTCCCCTTCCTGGGAAGTGAAGTGCACTCAGGGGGGCTGTGGGTTTGACCTGCTTTGACCCTCAGGCCTTGTCTGCTCTCTGTTCTAGGTGATCTGTGGCTCCAAGTACCTCGTGCGGGCTGAGAGCGCCCGTGATCACGTGGATCTCCTGGCCTCCTCACGCCACTGGCCTCCCATCTACATCGTTGATATGGCCACACCAGTGGCCCTGTGTGCTGACCTTTCCTACCCAGAGCTGACCAGCCAGATGTGGGGAAGGAACCAGGGCTGTTTCTCCAGTCCCACGGAGCCACCGGTGGTGAGTTCCCTCCTACTTAACAAGCAGGCAGCCCCTTCCCCTGGGACCAGTCCGCAAACACTGGTTCCAGAGAAAAAGAGAAAAAGGCCTGAGCAGCCTCCTGGTGGTGTGTTCAGGGTATCCCAGACCCAGGTAAGGCCTCAGGCTGCCTTGTACACAGCACTAGCTTAGCCAGCCTGCCACTTTTCTTACAGGGGAAACAGACTGAAGGGATCACCCCCTGAGGAGCCTCAGGATGGATACTGGAAAGGAGGTGCTGCTGGACAGCACTGTAATTACCTGGGCCTCTCCCCCTTGCTGCTCCTCACCTGAGAAAATAGGGGCAGCTAGGCTGGCTGACCGTGCAAAGTTCTCCACAGGTTCCACCTTGCTCATACCTCTTACCATGTTTCTCCTAGAGTGTGTCCTGCCCGGAACTCCTGGACCAGCATTACACAGTGGACATGATGGAAGCGGAACACTCAGTCCAGCACCCTGTCACCAGGACTGCTGCCCGACGCATCCTGCATGCAGGCACACAGCCCAGTCCTGGAGACCCCAGTGCTGGGCACCACTCCATGACCCTGTGCCCTGAGTTGGCACCCTACACAGCCCTCCTGGCCTCCATGGTAGACAGCAAAGCCACCAGTGTCCGCCAGCGGCCCATTGCCTTTGACAATGCCACCCACTATTACCTCTACAACCGCCTTGTGGACTTCCTCACCAGCCGCGAGATTGTCAACCGGCAGATCCATGACATTGTGCAGAGCTGCCAACCTGGTGAGGTGGTCATCCGTGACACCCTGTACCGCCTTGGGGTCGCTCAGATCAAGACAGAGACAGAGGAGGAAGGTGAGGAAGAAGAGCTGGCAGCAGCAGAGTAAGCCCAGCTGTGGAACAGGAACTGCACCATCTCGCTCAAGCCATATATAGTAAGGCCCTCACCTAAGGTACATTGGTCCAGGGGACCTGCACAGACGGTCTCACAGTATCTCTGGGTAGGGCCTCTTGACTGCTGGGACTGACCAAAGAGCTTCCATTTTCTTAACATGGGGGACCTGGGGTCCTTAATTCTTAGCCCTCGGGGTGGGGGACACCTGTGGGAATGCCCAGAACCCCCTCATTGGCTCTGAGAGCACTTGGGCATGTTTTGTGTAGCAGGGGGCCTTCCTGAGGCCTGTAGTTCCTTCCTGCCGTGGAAGAACCTTTAGGGCCTTAGCCTGTTGCCTTCGGCTAGAGAGGTCCACTGGTCCCTCTAGACTTGATTACCCCTGAAGGAGGGGTGCCTTTCCTTGTTGCTCTTCCTGCAACCCCACTGGGGGGACCTGAGCAGGGAGGTCTCTCACAGAGGGCCCTGGTCTACCCTGCCAGCAGTAGGAAAAACTCCCTTCTATGAAGGGGAAGCAGCCTGGGCCGTAAGGAAACAGCGGGCCTGGCTTGAGGGCCCCAGGTCTGTCTCATGCCCTGGAATTGGCTGAGTGTTACTTAATTTATTGAGGGAAGTGGAGGCAGTGGCATTTTTCTCCCTCTCTTCCCTGACAAGAATAAACTTTATTAAATTATCAGGTTGCAGTCAAGTGTTAATTCTGGTGTCCTGTTCCTTACCTTGTCCCTTGTAGGAATAGAAGGGTACGAAGAAGTGCAGGCAGCTGTATGAACACTGTTAGTTTAATGCTGAGGCAACAGCCTCCAGCAGATCTGTTAGTCAGGATATCCTAAGGCGGCTGGGCCTAGCCAGCTTCATGCTGAAGTCCCTCGTCTCCACCCAAAAAGCATCAGGGGACTGGCTGCATTCCCCTTGCTCTTAGCTGCAGATTGGGCTCATGATCGCAGTACCAGGTCTGGGGGCTGTCCAGCCCCAAGGGGCCTTTCCTCAGTGGCAGGGCAGCTTGCTGGGGGCTCATTGCACAAACTCAGTCTATTGGCATGGAGATAACAGGGCATTAGGTAACACAGCAAACATAAGGCTAGGAGGGAGCAGGGCAGGGGCTCAGCCCCTGACTGGCAGTGGTAGCCCAGGCTCTGGGAGTGAGACTTCCACAGGCACCTCACTTTCCCAAGTATTAGAGCTGGGCTGAGCTGGTAAGTGAAATGACTTGAGGGCAGAGTTTGTACATTCTCCCCATGTTGCCCATCCATGGAGGAGGGGAGAGGCAGCGTTCCCAAGGCCTGGCTCTTCAGCAGAACTGGTAGTTATTGGGCTGCAGCCCAGGCTGGGCCATCTCCCCTGGCTCACAGAAGGTCAAGTGCTCGCTGGAGCTTTCTTCCTCAGGTTCACTGCTGCTGCCACTGCTGCTGCTTCCACTGGGCAGGTTGGTGTAGCCCTGAGGGTGGGAGACACCAGAGGCAGGTAGTCCCAAAGCGTCAGGCCCAACCTAGCCTGCCAGCCTGCGCCTCACCCCGTCACTCACCTGCTCCCTGGTGGCTGCTTGGAGCTGCTTCTGGAGGAGGATGCAGATCTGCTGGAAGGTGGGTCTGTGTGTGGGCTCCAGGGCCCAGCAGGCCTGCATGATGCTGTATCTGCAGACAGAACACGGTTTACCAGTGCTGCTCCCCAGAATCCAGGGGTCCTGGCCCTGCACTGCCTCGTGGACATCCCTGGACAAAGGGCCGTGTGGGCAGCCCAAGACCAGTCCCAATGTGGGGCCTCTTCTCTGAGGACCTCCCCCTTCTACCTGAGGAACCAGAGAACCTTGATTTCAAGTCCAGTGCAAAGAGGGGTGAAGCCTGTAACTAAAATGGTTTAGAGAGAAGAAACAGGCCACACACCCTTCCATATCCTACCCCCAGAAAAACCCTTCACTTACATGTTCTTTGGAGCAAATGCAGGCTGAGCCATTTGGTATCCATCTTTTACCAGTTTATAGAACTTGCTGTTCACCAGGATCCCAGGGTAGGGGTTGACCCCTGTGAAGGCCAAGGTCAGTCACATAAGAGGCCACACCAATGCTTACGCTGTTCGAAGTGGCAGTGGATCAGCAGCTTCCCGGCCTAGTGCTAACTGTATCCCAGGCCCTGCACCATGAGCGTCAACTTTAGGAGGGAGAGAGCCTTCAGCCAGGCTTTGCACGCCTGACAGGCCAAAGCTTCCCTTGCGCATTAGTCAGGAGACACAGAGGGGAGGAGGAAGCTACACCTCATAGAGGACGTTGAACGACTGGACTCAAGTTCCTATTCTAGCCCTCAGGAAATGGAGGGGAGGTGGTAGGGAGCTGGTAGATAGCTCAGGCTGTGCCTTCAAGGACATGGGGGCCTCAGAGCAGGGAAAAAGCCCAGGAAAGTAAATGTCAGGGTGGAAACTGCCCGCACCGAGCATCCTTGAGTGCTCTGTTCTATGAGGGACAGGATGGTAATGGGCCCAGAGGGAGCCACGGCCCAGCTCACCAAGTGAGAAGATCTCCCAGAGCAGGATGCCGTAGGACCAGACGTCGCTCTGGACCGTGTAGATGCAGTTGAAAATGCTCTCCGGGGCCATCCACTTCACAGGCAGGCGGGCCTGGAATGGACAGTCACGGGTTACTTTGGGCCTGCTTTGCTCCCTTCCCCAGCCCACCCCTTCCTGGCACTCACATTGCCCTTGACGATGTAGTTGGAATCATTCATGATGTCCCTAGCCAGCCCAAAGTCCCCAATCTTGGCCACATGCCCACTGGTCAGCAGCACGTTGCGGGCTGCTACATCTCTGTGGATGCACTGAGAGGAAACACAGCAAGGTTAGGCTGGGCCCTCTGCAACCTCAGCCCAGGCTGAGGGGCTGCAGCAAAGGCCCCACAAGGCTTTGCAATCCTGTAATAAAACTGGTGACCACTGCCTCCCAAACACCTACCCACACCTCTACCAGAGTTCTCAGACCCAGAGAACTTAGAATGGTCAGGCAATGTTTAGCAACCATTGACACTTGGTACTGCAACTAAAATGGCATGTGAAATGCGCACATCCTGTGTTGGAGTCAGCTCTGCTTCCGAGTCCGTGCAGTCCCTGGGAGGCAGCAGTTGGGTCCTGCTAGCTATATTGAAGGCCTGGATTGAGCCTCTAGACATCACTCTGACCCAGCCCAGGTTGTTGGGCATGTGTAAGCCTGGAGATACATCTTTTGTGTCCCTAAGCCACAAACATTTAGCCCTTCCAGCCCTGTCTCGGCAGCAGAAGCCAAAGGCCTTCCTTGTGACTAATAGCAGGCCTCTTCACAGAGTTGATGTTGCCAAACACATATTACTGAGAAGCCTCTCCTGGATTACAGTATGCTTTGTCCAAAAGAAGCTCCCTTTTCCCTTTGTGTTTTTCTACAAACTTTATGAGGGAACCACAAGCTAATAGCTGTTGCCCACTTCTGGACCTCCCTTTGCCTAGGCCTTCCCTTAAGCATTTGCACATTCTGTAAGGCTGCTTCCCCTCAAACCAGCCTGTGAATATACCTATCTTTATAGGTGCAAAAAAGGGGTCAAAAGTTAAGCCGTTGGCCAGGGTCACACAGCAGGTGACAGCCAGCATCAAAACCACTGACTGCTCTACCTGTGCTCATGGAAGAACGCCCTGCCCTCTTGCTACTGGGCTGTGTATTTTAGACATCCTGAGGGGAAACACTGTTTCATTCACACCTTTTGAGTTTCATACCCTTCTGAGCCTACCATACTCAAATGTGGCCCAGCCTGGGGCTCCACCCATCCTGAATAAACTCGCCCCTCAAGACCATTCCCACCCCTGCCCTCCAGCTTGGCTCACGTTCTTGGAAGCCAGGAAGGCCATGCCCTGGGCCACTTGACTGGAGAAGTGGAGCAAGTCACGGAGCTCCAGCGGTCGGCCGTCTTCCTTGTCCATGCCTGGGGTGGAAGAGAGCATCAGCCGGGCCCAGACCAGGACCCGGACCTGGACCCAGGGCCCAGCAGCACTTCCCGTGCCTCACCTTGCTCAGAGAAGGAGTCGTTTGAAGAAGTGGAGATGGGCCTCATTTCCACATAGGTGTCCACACCCTGGCTAGAGAAACCACTGTCCCTGCATTGGAAATGGGGGTAGGTGTCAGTTCCCATCAGAGGGCCTCCAGCCACCCTTGGCCTCACCTAGCCTATTCAACAGGGATTGCAGGGAGCCTCGAGTCAAGGCTCTGCCATGTCCTGGCTATGCCTTGAGAGGTGCTCGTCAGCCATCCTACCTCCAGGCAGTGCCACCTGTTCCTCCTTCATCTTTCCCTCCTGCTCCTTAGGCCTGGAGAAGGTGGCATGCCCTTCCGCCCTAACAGCTCTTCTGCCATCAGCGTGTTCAGGGACCCCTTATTCACTCCTCCTCCTGCCCAAGCTTCATAGTAAAGTCAGCTGGGGAGTTTGTAACCCGTGCCCAGACCTACATTAGAAGTGAGTGAGAAAGTAGTTGTTCCCTTTGCAGTGGTCCTGGATGTGCAAGCCTGGATGAAGGCCCCACTGGGCTACAGCAGGCTTCTGAAAGCACCTTGTTTGTATGTGTCACCTGGGAGGCATGGTAGATGGTGAACTCCGAACTGGTGGGCCTGGGCGCATGGAAAGGAGCCCCCACTTGGAAGTACAAAGTGAGCTTGGAAACATATTTGGCACTCAACAGCCAGTACTGCCTCCACATTCCAAGCAGACAATTTCTGAGCCCTCTGTCCCTGTTGCCCCAGTTAGAGGCACACCCTGGGTCCAGAAAGAGGACCACTAAGTATTTTGTGTTTGCTCCCCTTCCCTTGTACTATCGAGTACTTCCGTTGCTGGGGCCTGGGTCCCCACACGCCTCTCGCCCTGGAGAGGACTATTTTCTAGGAAAGCCTGCCCTGTTTGATTTGAAGGTTAGATATTTTGTTGGCACTCACTAGGACTTGATCTGGCTCACGGGCCTACTTAGCCTGTGAAGGCCACGTATGTGCCATCCTCTCAGAGGGGTGCCAGAGGATCAGAAGAGGAAGTAGACCCTGCCAGTCCCCAAGGAGCGATGGCCTCTTTTCCTCTTTGCATAATAGCTGGCAGTACCTACAGTAAGGACCCACACACCCTTTTCATTGGGATCCTGGCTGCCCGCCCCCCCAGCCGTTGGGCTCTTGGGCCTCATGAGGCCCTCCAGGAAAGCAGTGTGGCCCAGGGGCTGAGAGCTCCAGCCCAGCTCTGCCTCTACCCTGACTCATGGGTGACAAAACTTCCACTTCCCCTTTCCACTTCCAAGTGGCTTCCAGGAATCCTACCACCGCACCAGCAGGGCTAGAAAGCCTGGGAGGCATTCCACACCCCAGTGGCTCAAGAAGAAAATGAGACCCAAGCAGGCCAGAGACCCTTTGTGGCTAGGCTGCTTGGCCTCCATCTGGCAACAAGCCAGCAAGCACTGTTGAGGCAATGTGAGGAACCAACATAGGCCACTCCTGGCAGGGAGGGAGTCTGCAGTCCCCAGCTGCAGGCAGGGATCCAGTGAGTGGATCCTTTAGGTGAAAGTGATGGCTTCAGTAGGGCAATTTTGTCCTCTGTGGTCCCCAATTGCAGTGGATGCTCAAACTCGAGTGGTAAAACAGCACTGCCCCTAAGACACAGTGGCTCCTCCCTGTGGCACAGATGGGAACCTGAGGGCTGCATAGCCACCCACCCCCAAGCTGGCTTTGAGACTCAGTCCCATCCCCGGGTACCACCTGCGGAGGTATTTCTTCTCCAAGTGAATGTTCTTGTAGCTGATGTCCCCCTCAGGCTCCTGGCTAAGGCCCAACATGGCTTCAGCTTTTCTTCGCAGGAAGTTGAGCAGGTCACCATAGCAGCAGTACTCGGTGATGACCAGAACAGGGCCTGGAGTGGGCAGCAGGCAGTAGTAGTAGGGCCTGGGGACCATATGCTGCCTGCCTCCCTTCCCCTGCCCCACCCCCCAGAAAAGCAGCCCAGTTCTAATCCTGCCTTAGCATTACTACCTTTCCCCAGCACAGCACTTGCGTATTTTTAGGAGCAGACATTTGACAGAGGAGTTAAGACACCACTTGAAACACCTAGCCCATATCTGAGGGCCTGGGCTTGTGTCTTGGCTCTGCCTCTACAGCTTCCTGCTCACTGGCACCTTGCCCAGCAACAGGTATAACCACATGGGCTGGAGCTCTAGGCTCCTGGCTTTGACCTGGCCCAGCCCCAGCCGTAGAAGGCATCTGAGGATTGAACCAGGGAATGCACTTTCAGCCGAATTCAGCCCAAAAACATTCTTCTAAGGAAATCTTTGGCAGTCAGGACAAGACTGCAATGGGTGATGAACATGGGAGTAGGCATGGGGGTCCCAACAAGCCCCAGGCACCCCTGGGCTCTGGAGTGAGTGCCCAAGCATCTGGGCCCAGAAACATGCCCTTTCCTCTCCCTCTCCGAGTGCTGACACTCAGACATCTGAAAGCCACTGGTCAGCAGCTTCACATCACCCACAGGAGCCCCTTGCTAGCCCAGGGGAGACCCAGGGATTGTGCGGATCCAACCAGTACTCAGAGCGGATGAAGATATGATGGAGTGGGGGCCTCTAGACACCCCAGGAGACCCCAGGGCCCCATCCCATCAGCAGCACTCACCTCCATGAGTGCAGGCTCCCAGGAGGTTGACTATGTTCTCGTGCTGGCCCAGGTGACTCATGATCTTCAGTTCCGACATGAGGGCCTCCTTCTCGTCAGCATGAGCCGTGGCTGCAAGAGGAGCCAGAAGGGGGAAGGGAAATGCAGGCATAAGGGGAGTAGGTAGGAACAAAGGGGGGACATGGCCTGTCACTCAGCTGGTCCCAGGGTGGCAGGAAGTCAACCTGTGATCCAAAGCATTCCGGGGCTCCGTCAGAAGCCCCTCTACACCCAATGGTTCAGCCTCTCCTCCTGGAGACCCAGGATTCTAAGAGAGCTGGGCACACCTTATAAAGCAGCATCCTAGGCCTCAGTACCAGGCCATGGGTGAGTGTCTTGTGGGGCAGGACCCTTACCCACCCAAACCCTCCCATCACTCACACTTGAGCATCTTCACCGCCACCTTCAGCACAGCGTCCTCCTTGCCCAGACCGAAAGCCGTAGCCTCCACCACCTTCCCGAAGGCACCGGCGCCCAGGGTCTTACCTATTGCACACACAAATACACAGGATCCTTAGGATCCTGGCACCACAGGACCTGCCTCCTTCCCAGGGGCCCTTTCTCACCAAACTGCAGGTTGTTCCTAGGGAATTCCCACTTCTCATTGTAGGGCAGCTGCGTAGGGTCGATGAAGGTATAGTTGTTGCCCTCAAAGCTCTCAATGATCTTCCAGCGTACCTGGTACTTGGGCTTCTGCAGGGGGATGAGGGGAAACATGGGATGCTGGGTCTCATTCCACTGCCCAAGGTTCTTGGTGGCTTCAAGAATCAGTCCCTGCTTGATGCTCCCTCACTCGGCTACCCTTCCTTCTCAAGTTCCCGTCTGTATGCTGAAGGACAGGGCCTGTTGACCCCCTTTATCAATGAGAACTTGGTCATTGCTGAACCGAGGTAGGACTTGAAATGTAGCCATCCATCCAAACAAATTTTAAGTGCTATTTGCAAGGCAGAGTGAGGGATCAGCGCCATGGTGTAGCAGGCCAAGCCTCCATCTGTGGCAGTAATATCCCATATTGGGGCTGGTTCCATATCCCAGCTACTCCACTTCCAATCCAGCTCTCTGCTAATGGCCTGGGAAAGCATGGAGGATACTCAAGTGCTTGGGCCCCTGAACCCTTGTGGAAGACTCAGAAGAAATGCCAGCTGTGGCCATTAACAAAAAAATAAGAGGTGGGGCACAGCATGGTGGTTGATCCCCTCCTGTGGTGCTAGCATCCTATATGGCCACCTTCTAGTGTCCTGCCTATCCTACAGTTCTCTGCTTATGGCCAGGGGAAGTAGCAGAGGATGGCCCATGTTCTTGGAACCCTGCACCTACATGGGAGACCAAGAAGAAGCTCCTGGCCTGGGACTGGCCTAGCTCTGGCAATTGCACTTATTTGGGGAGTGAACCAGCAGATGAAAGACCTCTATTTCTCTCATCCTCCTCCTTTACTCTGTAAAAAAATTTTCAAATAAAACTATTTTTTAAAAAATACAAAAACAGGGCCCGGCGCAGTGGCGCAAGTGGTTAAAGGTCCTCGCCTTGCACGCCCGGGATCCCATATGGGCACCGGTTCTAATCCCGGCAGCCCCGCTTCCCTTCCAGCTCCCTGCCTGTGGCCCGGGAAAGCAGTCGAGGACAGCCCAAGGCTTTGGGAACCTGCACCCGCGTGGGAGACCCGGAAGAGGCTCCTGGCTTCGGATCGGCATAGCACCGGCCCGTTGCGCTCACTTGGGGAGTGAATCATTGGACGGAAGATCTTCCTCTCTGTCTCTCCTCTCTGTATATCTGCCTTTCCAATAAAAAAAAATAATAATAAAAATAAATCTTTAAATAAAAAATACAAAAACAAATGGAAATATTCCATATGTAGTCCTAAAAAAAAAAAAAGGAGGCAGGGCCCGGTGTGGTAGCCTAGCAGCTCAAGTCCTCACCTTGCATGCACCAGGTTCCCATAGGGGTGCCAAGTCATATCCCAGCTGCTCCACTTTCCATCCAGCTCCCTGCCTGTGGTCTGAGAAAGCAGTCAAGGATGGCCCAAAGCCCTGGGACCCTGAGCCCACGTGGGAGAAAGTTCCTGGTTTCTTGTTTCAGATCAGCTCATCTGCCTGTTGCAGCTACTTCAGTAATGAACCAGTGGGTGGAAGATCTTTCTCTCTCCCCTTTCTCCCCTTCTCTCTGTATCTGCCTTTCCAATAAAAATCAATAAATCTTTTTAGAAACTAAACAATTTTTTCTTTAAAAAAAAATAAAGCAGGCAGAGTGACAGAGAAGGACAAACTTTCCACCTGCTGGTTCATTCCCGCATGCCAGCAGTAGGCTGAGCCGAGGCAAGCTAAAGCCATGAGTCGGGAATTCCATCTGCTCTCCCACATGGGTGGCAGGGAGCTAATACTTGAGCCATTACCCACCACCTCCCTTGCGTTAGCAGGGGACCAGACCAAAAGCAGAGGCCACACTCAATCCCAGGCAGTGCCGCCACAGAATGCGAATCCCCCTCATGTTATGACCAAGGAAGAGTCCTGTTCCAGTCCTCTGAGATTTCCCTGCGGTGGGCACTGTCCATTCTGTGTCAGACAAGTCCAAGTCCTCGCCCCCATGGAGGCTGTGGTCTGGTGACTGAGGGAGGTGTCCCTCCCGTGAGACCCCAGGACCTTCTCAGGCCGGGCAGAGCCTGGCTGCTGGGGACCAGCAGCAATGGCAGCAGTGCTCGCCTCCCTGGCCAGGGAAGCTGCGCAGAGGCAGCAAGCCAGAGGGTGCTGACGGAAGTGCTGATGGGAGGCCTGGAGTGGGAGGGAAGTGAAGCTGGGCTGGGGTGGCAGAGGGAACCAAGGCCTTGGTCAGCAACCCTTCTTTCCGGTCAGGCCTTGGCTTCCTAGGAACAGCTCTGCTAAGCATGGCAGCTGGCTCGTTCCCCAGGTACCATCACAGTGGCAAGCCAAAGGGCCTGGGGGCAGGTAGGGGCAGGAGGCTGCAGCCTGGACAGGTTAAGAGCAGAGTCTACACAACAGCCTAGAGCAGGTGTTCCTAACTGGTCACTGGGGAGAAAAGTCTGAAGTTAGATATCAAGGAGAACTTCCCAGGCCATGACTCAAGAGGAGAGTCTGTTACAGGCCCTAGTGAGCCTCCTGCTTCCTAGATGATCAACCCCTGCAGGTGGAGACTATCCAAGCCAGAAGACGTGAGGAGACTCTGGCTTCCCCAGCCACTTCCGCCTCCAGCAGCCCTGTGGCCATGGCCGTCTTCCTTCTCTTTCTACTTCTCTTTCCTCGGCCCCCTCCTCCGCATGCCTCCCTTCCCCACCTCAAACAGCTGGCCTGGTCAGCCCCACCCGGCCCAGCTGGACACATGCTCCTGCAACAAGGAGAGGGTCAAGGACCCCCTCAGTTTCCCAAGCTCTGAGAATGAGAGAGAGGCAAAGGCACCCGAAGGGCTGCCTGGGGCCAGAACTCCCCATAATGGAAGCAGTGTCCTGGGCAAAACCAGCCAAGGTCATGGAGCACTTGTACACAGGCCCCGGGCTGTACCTGTCACCTCTTTTGTTCCCCCAAAATGCCTAAGGCTCATACAGCCCCCAACCCTTCCCCTATGGGACCCAACAGAGACCTGCTCATTCTTGGAGTGCCTCCTGCTGGCCTCACAACTCAGTCCCTACTCCCAGGGTTCCAGACTCTCCAGGGGCCTTATCCCCGCACCCCCCTCAAAAAAAAAACATCATCCCACCATTTCTCTCTCCCTCAGTGGACATGTGAGAAAGGGCAAGACAGGGAATGAGCATCCCGACCCACCAAGGTCTCATGCCCTGCTGGGTGCCTCAACCTGGGGATGATAAAAGGAATGGGCACTGGAGGAGCCATGTTCTAACACACCTGCCCCACAGAACAAGGATGCAATGCCTTTGCACTGTGTTGAGAGGGGGGAAAACGGGGGAGAGGGCGGGGGTGGGGATGGCCAGCCCGGTTTGGAGGGGCCTGCAGGCACACCAGCCCTTTACTGGGCTCTGCAGCCCCAGGCAGCCCTGGAAGCACTTTTGGTTCCACATAAGGAAGCCTGTGGCTGGCCAGTGAGTGAGTAAGGTCCTGGCCCCAGAGGGGTGTGTGGTCAGGGAGATGGGCAGCCGCAGACGTCCGCAATCCCAAGACTGCATGAGCTAACTGTGGCTTCCCAGCCAACTTCCTCCCAAGCCCAAGGTGTACGGGAGTGGGCGGGCAGCATGGGGGAATGCAGAGTTGTGGCCTCCACAGCCAGTCCCCTCCGTGCCTTAAGTCACGGAGTCCTGACAATGGGACAATATGGGCGGGGACAGCCACCAATAGTATTAATCCCATTTTCAAGATGGCCAACAGAGGTTTATAGAGCCTGGCAGAAGCGGGCTCTGAACCTAGGGCCTTGAAACAATCCCTGGCTCTTAACCTCGGCCACGAGGAGCTGTTTAAATAGCAGAGCAGGAGCTGTTCAAATCAACCCCACAAGTCCCACTACACAGAGACAGTGGCCTGGAGCACACAGCCCAGGACACATGTACAAGCAGCACCCAAATGGGGCCCAGATCCTGGAAGTTCTGACCCAAACCCTCCCCACATTCTCTTGGGGGGCTGCTCAGAGGTGCCTTCCTTTGCCAAGCGCTGGCACCGTCATGGAACTCCAGAGCCCTGCAAATACCCCAGGGCAGGAATAGGGGAGAGCAGGCAGCAAAGGGGAACACAGGTAGGTTACTCACCCCTCAAGACCCACTGCTCACTTACCCAGAACAGCCAATGGATTTGGGGTTTACACTGGAACCCAATGCTTCCTCAAATCGCTCAGTGAGGCCTGCCCTTCCCCGTCCTCTTGCACGCACCGTCCTCTGCCCAAGGTAGACTACCCGAGTTACACATCCTCCTGCCGCACCCCTCATCCTCCAAGATCAAGCTGGCTCTGAGCAGACTGTCTTTCTCAGCAGCCCGGTGAGAGCCCAGTACCTCCCTACAACCTCCCCTCCCCACGCTGGCTCACTTCTGGGCGTCTGATCACACACAGGGAGGCGGCTAGGCCAGAGGCTCTGGTGGGAGAAGTGTCCAGGGTCCGGTACCAGAGCTGCATGGCTCACCTGCTTGTACTTGTACAAGAGCAGCAACAGCAGCAACAGCAGCAAGGCCATGATGGACAGGCAGGCAACCACCACAGGTGTGAAGAGAGAGTCGTCAGGTTGCTGTGAGCGAGCTACCGGAACGGAAGAGGGGGAGGAATTAGCAGCCCAAGGGACCTGTGAGCCTTACCCCTCCCTCCTGAGCTCAGGCCAGTATGGTGCCTGGAACCAGCAAGTGTATCCCAATATGGCCCCCCCAGCCCTTCTCACACCCACAGCCCTACTCCCTGGCTAGAATCACTGCCTTCGGTGGCTTTGGGGGACCCCTCTGCTTTATAGCAGTCTGGCCTAGTGCCCAGCCATTGCTTGCCGCCTCCAGCGACAGCCACTTCACTGCCTCCACCCAGCTGTGATTTGCAAGGACATACTTTCTAGCCTGTCACCCAGATGAGGAGCCTGGGTTCTCACCCCCGCCCTCTAGGAGGTGTGCAACCCTGAACCTGACTCCCTCTCAGTCTTAGGTTTATGATCCTTCAAATGGGAATGCCAGCAGAGCCTCCTCCCAGCATGGGGGCTCAGTGGGGAGCATGCCTTCGAAAGCTGTGCAAGATCCCAACAAAATGCAACTCTGCCATTGATGGCACACAGCCGTCAGCAGCGGCTCCACGGCCAGTGGCAGGATGCATGACTGGCCACCACGGAGCCAGGCAAAGGCCGGGGCCTGCTCTGTGCCTCCTGAACCCAGAGAACCTAGCATGCAGCTGCAGCTGAACTGTGACCATCAAGGGCCCAAGGGTGCTGGGGCTGCCTGAGAACTGAAGCAACAGCCCAGAGGGAGCCCTTGTGCGAGGCAGACAAAGGTAGTGGCATGAGACCCTGGGCAGCATCCTACAGAGTGGCAGAAGAGATGAGGAGGGTAGCTGGAGGCTGCAGGGCCTAGTCCCATGAGGACGCTGGTCATTTGTACTGAGCAAGTATCCAGTACCAGGCCTATGCCAAGCGCATAGCATAAAGTCACAAATGAGCCACAGATATGATAAATGAACTATCAGGTGCAGGGCCCAAACAAAAGGGTCAGGTCTGGGCCAGGCTGCTTTTTCCCAGATCCTGTTCACTCCTGTCTGCTCTGCCACTCTGCAGCCTTCACTCCTGGGGGTGCTAAACTGTCCCATCTCACTGCCTGGGGAGGCTCGTTGGGAAGGACCTCCATCCTGGTACTTGCTGGGATCTGCTCCAGTGGGGACTCAGGCTGTGGGGACAACAGGCTCACCTACAGAGACAGGCCTGAAGGCCTGTGAGTGGTTGCCCAGGCTGTTCTGCGCCATGCAACCATAGGTCATATTGTGCTCCAGGCTGCCAACAGGCAGCAGGCTCCGGACAGTCACTTTGTGGAAGGGCTCCTGGCTCAGTACCTTGGGGTGCGGGTCCTCCCAGACCAACAGTGCATGGGCCTCGTCACATCTGAGAAGATAAACGGTAATTTTGAGCAAGGGGGACCCCAGCATGGGCACACCCTCCCACTCGTTGGGTCCCCAGGGGTTCCAGCAAGGGGAGCCGAGCCCACTTACCTATCAGTGTGACCCCTGCACTGCAGCCATGTCACATTGGGCTGGGGGTACCCAGAGGCTTCGCAGAAGAGAGTTTCTGAGCCATTGACATTGGTCCCTGTGAGGGTCACCTCAGGAGGATCTGAGTGGAACAGACAGGGGTCAGGCTTTATACCTTGTCTCTGCTTTGTCTACATTCCACCCTGGCTCAAGCCTGCCTCACCAGTGGCCCAGAGGACTCCCCCCCCCCCCCACCGGCCCAACCCATCACTCACATTGCAAGGTAAGCTCAAACGTCAGAGTCCTCAGGCCACCCGCGTTCCTGGCCAGAAAGGAGTAGCGGCCAGCCTCCGTGGGCTTCAGGCGCAGCAGGGAGAGGCTCGATGTATACCTGCAAGGGTAAAGCAGGTGATCCTGGTGAGCCCAAGCCCTGCAGGGACAGGCCCCAGATGGTAGCATTTTAAGGGGTTTACTTTCTGATGGATCCAATGTCCAGGGGGGTACAGAGGCCATGGCAGAGCCAGGCCATGGCAGAGCCAGGCCATGGCAAGGTGTGCTGAGACAGGGAGACCCCATCCTACTTCCTTGATCCCTTTTCTCATTAGACTGTGGCTTTCTCAGAGGTCTATGGGATGCAGGGAGGCCCTGCTTCCACCACTGTCCCTGGACGAAGCATCCCTGAGGGAGTGACAGTCACAAGAAGGTAAAGTGTTGGGACTGTCAGGGCTGGCATGGTAGTGCAGCCAGTTAAACTGCCACTTGGGATGCCCACAGCAGAGGAAAACATGGGAGTCAGAGAGGCTGAGGCTTTGGGAGGCAGAAGGAGAAGTCCAGAGTGTGTTGCTGTGGGAAGATGGCTGAATATTATCTAGCTCAGAGAGGATTAGCAGGCACCTCTCATGAGGCACCTGCAGGGAGACTAAGTTGGGAAGGACTTGAGGCAGTAACAGGACCCTGCAGGAGAGAGCTGGAGAGCAGCAGGGTGTGGGTCCTGCGTGTGGCAGGAGGTGTGGCATCCAGGCCAAATGCTGGCTGTCCTTTCTCGTTCTCATTGGGCAAGCTGGGAAGCTGGCATGTGTGTCCCCAGTCCCAGTGTTCCCTCCAAGGAAGGAAACCAAAGGGGCCAGTGTGGTGGCATGGCAGGCTTAAGCCACTACCTGTGATGCCAACATCCCATATCAGAACACCAACTTGAAGCCAAGCTGCTTTGCTTTGGATCCTGCTCCCTGCTAATGCACCTGGGAAAGCAGCCAAGGATGGACTGCACGCTTGGGTCCCTGCAGCACATGGGAGGCCCAGAGGAAGCACCTGGGCCTAACCCCAGCCATTACGGTCATTTTGAGAACAAACCAGTGGATGGAAGACTGTCATTCTGTCCATCCATTATAGAAATTTTGTGGGGGTTTTGTTTGTTTTTACAAAGGATACAAAAGCAAAGGACCTGAAAAGGCCACCTGGGACAGGAAAGTAAAGCATCTTTGAGGACACAGTTCAGGTGGAGATTGGTACAATGTGTGTGGGATGAATCCCAGGACTTGGAGGGGAGAGAGGCGGGACATGGAGTCACTCTGCACCTTATGAGAAGACTCATGGCCCCATGGGGGAGAGTGGCCAGCAAGAGACCCCCAGCATGGTGGCCCAGGGCCTGCCGTGACTTTCACTGGGTTGGGGGTGTTGATTCCCTCCACCTACCAAGCCAAGGTGACAGGCACTCTGCACAGTCATTATGAAAGTCACAGCAATGTCACTTTCTCCATCTGGGCTAGCCACAAAAGAGGAGAAAGAGGGAGGCCAAGAGATCGTGAGGGACCCAGGGGATGTGCAAAGGGTAGACTTTCAGAGGAGGGTGCTGGGTTTCCCAAGGTCGTGGACCAGAGGGATCAGCCACTTGGGTCTAAATCTCCTCCACAGGGCCCGACGATGTGGTGTAGTAGTGGCTAAAGTCCTGGCCTTGAATGCGCCAGGATCCCATATGGGCACCGGTTCTAATCCCGGCAGCTCCACTTCCCATCCAGCTCCCTGCTTGTGGCCTGGGAAAGCAGTCGAGGACAGCCCAAAGCCTTGGGTCCCTGCACCTGCGTCTGAGACCTGGAAGAGGTTCCTGGTTCTCAGCTTCAGATCGGCGCAGTAACAGCCATTGCAATCACTTGGGGAATCAATCATCAGACGGAAGATCTTCCTCTCTGTCTCTCCTCCTCTCTGTATATCTGACTTCGTAATACAAAAAAATCTTTTAAAAAATTAAAAATAAATAAAATAAATCTTCTCCACCGATGACTAATGCTTTCCCATCTGACCCTCCAGGAGGGCGAGGCCCTGAGAGGAGAGGGAAATCACTCAAGGTCAGTGCAGGGCCCAGGAACTCCTGTTCCTGGCTGAAGCATCCCCTGTGCGCCCTCAGAACCATGCACATGAGAGCTGACAGGTGGTACCTGTATGTTTCCTTTGTGGTGACAAAGTCAAGCTTGGGCTGGTGGTCGTCAGAGAAGGGCCCCAGGTAGGTCCAATGAAAACTTTGCAGGGCTGGGTAGGCCTCCACCTTGACATTCAGGGTCAGGGTCTTGCCCACGGTCACCTCCTGGAAGAGGCTATGCTCGGAGGTCAAGTTCACATAGGCACTCTCTGCAAAGGAGAACATAGGGAGTTGTGGTGTTAGTGGAGAGATGCCCCGCATGCTCACCCACTGGGTGCTCCAACTTCACTCTGTTGTCCCTGAGCATCTACTAAGCACCAGGCACAGGGGCCCCGAGCCCAGCCCCAGCCAGGCCAGCCTCTAACTCTCTCCCGCATCCTGCCTCAGTGCCAGGACGTAAAGTCTTCTCACCAGCCTTGGGAGAAGCAGGGCTCATTCCTATCTCTTTCCTTAATCTGGATAATGAAGAGATAGAATCTATTTCGTTTTGACTTTGAGAAAGTTGGAGCATGCCCCCATTCATTTGCCAGCTAACACGTCAATCAATGGGACTTGTACATGCTGTTCTGGAGCAGGCGTGCGGACCCAGCCAGGCATCAGGGTGATCTCAACCCCTCTGGGCTGGGCATACAAGTCTGTGCTGGTTGGTGGGGACCCTGAGAAAAAAGCAGCCCTCCTTGTGTGAGGGGTCCCCCAGCTGGACACCTCCGGAGGCCCAGCAGCAGAAAGCCAAGCATCAAGGCACAATGAAGTCTTTCCCATGCTGTCTGAGCCCCTGGATGTGGTCATCCCAAAGACCACCGCTGGAAGCCTCACAGCACTCTAGGTTCGGCCAGTCTGAGTGGGCTGCAAGAGTCTCGCCTGGCTCCTCCCAATAAAACATCCTGTGAGCAAGGCTCGGGCTGTCCCTAGGACCAGGAGCCATGACCAGAACCCGGCAGGGAGGTGGGAACTAGCTGAGCTCTCAGAGGTCCTCACTCAGTACTATAAAGCCTAGAGCTCGCCCTTCCCACCTCCCCACCTCCCCACACAACAGCACTTCCCTGCCCGCCACCACCTCGTGGGGCAGCCATGGCTCAGGGGTTCTTGTCAATCAAGTGAGATCACACTTCCCTCATCCAACCAACGCTGATTCCTCACATGCTCAACACGCCCCCTGGCGGTGTCTTCCAGCATCCCTCCCATACAGCACAGTGGTGTTGTGGAAGATGTCCTCCAACCGTTCCCTCCACCAGGAGCCCAGTCCTGTTTGCATCCTCCTCATCCTGCCTGCTCCACCCCACCGAGGAGTCCCCAGTGTCCCCTCAGCCCATAAGGGCTCTTGCTCCTGCAGACTCCTGCTACCCATCCTGGCCACACTGACTACCTGGGCCTCACCCATGCTGCTTCCTGCACCTGTCTCCGACTTTAAGCAGCGGTCTCCTCCCTCCACCTGGTCCACCAGCTCACTCTCTGTTATTCAATAGTCCACCATAGCTGTCCTTTCCCTCAACGTTCGCCCTCTGCCTGCCACCTCTAGCCTCAACTCCCGCAGCAACTTCCTAGCTCGTCCCTTCATCTCCATGCCACAGACAGTCCCCAAGAAAGCACCAGGGACCTGGTGCAGTAGCTTAGCAGCTAAAGTCCTTGCTTTGCATGCACTAGGATTTCATGTGGGCACTGGTTCGTATCCTGGCTGCTCCACCTCCCATCCAGCTCTCTGCTTGTGGCCTGGGAAAGCAGTCAAGGACGGCCCAAAGCCCCGAGACCCTGCAACCACGTCGGAGACCCGGAAGAGGCTCCAGGTTCCTTGCTTCAGATTGGCTCAGATCTGGCCATTGCGGCCACTTGGGGAGTGAGCCAGCGGATGGAAGATCTTTCTCTTTGTCTCTCCTCCTCTTTGTATATCTGCCTTTCTAATAGATTTTTTTTTTAAGATTTATTTATTTATTACAAAGTCAGATACACAGAGAGGAGGAGAGAGAGAGGAAGATCTTCCATCCGATGATTCACGCCCCAAGTGAGCGCAATGGCCGGTGCTATGCTGATCCGAAGCCAGGATCCAGGAACTTCTTCCGGGTCTCCCACACGGGTTGCAGGGTCCCAAAGCTTTGGGCCGTCCTTGACTGCTTTCCCGGGCCACAGGCAGGAAGCTGGATAGAAAGTGGAGCTGCCGGGATTAGAACCGGTGCCCATATGGGATCCTGGTGCGTTCAAAGCGAGGACTTTAGCCGCTAGGCCACACCGCCGGGCCCTCTAGTAGATTTTTTAAAAGGAAAGAAAGCACCAGGAAGCCCTGTCACAGCCAAGTCTGTCACGTGACTCTGCTCAAACCCTCCATGTCTCTCAAGAGAAGCAGGCCAAGCCCTGGCACTGGCCCACAGGGTTCTCCTGGTTCTGCCAGCTCTCCTTTACTCGTCCTTCCTCCTGCTAACTGCATGCTGGCCTGCTTGATCCTCGAACAGGGCCTGTGCTGTCCCACTTCAAGAACACCATAGTTCTTGAAGGGGCTAGTGCCTATGAGCTGGCATCCTTTATGGGCACCGATTCTGTTGGTATTGCAAATACCCTATGCCCACTCGACTTTGGGCTCCGCATATGCTGTCCCCTCCCCTCCCCTCCCCGCCCCCTGCCTTCAGCTCTAAGCCTGAGCTGGAGGAGCCTACTCTGTCCCCAGGATCATGCTGAGTGACCACTGTTCTGGCGACCATGAGATGGGTCCAGAGGAAGGAGTGAATGAGTGAGCAAATGAGATGCAGGATAAACTCCTGACCCCAAGCCCAAGACAGAAGAAAAGGAAGCTGGAACAAAAATACAGCAATACACTGTGGAAACGCCAAGGCGGAAGAGGGGTTGTGAATGGAGGTACCCGCTCTGTGATCAAGCCTGGGACCAAGTGGCAGTGTCCCTAGCAGTGTCTCCCTCCCTCCATGCCACCAGCCCTTCCTCTCCCACCCGGTCCCTGGAGTCACTGCTTCCTGATGCTCACCTACCACCAGGAAGAACATGGAGGAGGAGCGGGCACCCCGCGCGTTGGTGGCCACGCATGAGTAGTTTCCAGCATCGTGGAAGCTTACGTTGCTGAGGGCGAGGGTCAGGACTTTATGGTAGTTACTATTTTGGAAGTCAGACTGTTCGGCGATGGCGAGCTGTGGGCAGAAAGAAGTGGAGATGGTTCCCCAAGGTTGTTTAGGGATGGCAAGGCCCTGGGCTCAGTCTGCAAGGATCGCTATCTGCCTATTCCCAGGCCAAGGCAGTGAACGCAGAGCCTCAGGCTCTTCATCTGTAAAATGGGACTGACACAGGCTCCTGGCCACTAGGGTTGCAGGGAGAAGTGAGATGTGCATAGCAGAGGCTTGGGCCTGTTCTTGATACGCTGTGGATGTGGTGGAAGGGAAGGAAGGGCATGATGCAGTCCGCCATCATGCCCTTTGTGACTTCTTCCTGTTTCCCACGGTTTCCCTGCAATAGATGTCATGTCTCTAAGCTCCAGTGCCAGCCGGGAATCCCTCAGCAAGTCGGAAGTTGGCTAACACCTGCGTCTTATCTGCAAGCTAGGGCTGAGGTCATCAGTCAAGGCAGCAGAGTCCAAGACCTGGTTCTGGATCAACTCCTGACAGCCACAGCCCCACCCTGCCAGGGCCCAGGCTCTGATCCCAGCCTCCAGAGCCGGTTTGGGGTTCCATGCGGTAGGGTGGGCACCACCCTGCAGGGACACAGCATTTCCCAGCAACTGACCTTGGTGTCTCCGTGGTACATATGGACGCTATAGTTGAGGTCAAGGTTGCTGGCTGTGCAGGAGATACGAGCAGTCTCCCCTCGAATCCGCACCAGCTCGGTTGGCTCCAGAGTCAAGGTTGGGGGTCCTGGGAGGACTGAAGCCACAGAACAGACCTCTTGAAGCCCAGGCCAGAGCTGGCACCTGAACACGCACCCACCTGCTACCCTGCCTGCCCTGCCTCTCGCCCAACACATGGCTTCTAATGAATGTCTATCTTCATCCTTCAGATCTCCAGGCTCAAAGTGTCTTTGAGGGACCAGCACTGAGGAACAGTGAGTTGAGCCTCCATTTGTAGTGCCAGCATCTTGTATCACCACGCTGGTCCAATCCAGTTCCCTGCTAATGCGCCTCAGAAAGTGGTAGATGGCTGCTGCCACCCCTGTGACAGACCAGGATGGAATTCCTGGCTTCTGGGCTTTAGTCTGGTCCAGATCTGGCAGATGCCCTCCCTGCACTTCTAGAACATTCTGGGGCCTTCCCTGCCCCTTCCCCATGCCCACTGTTTTCTCTGCTGAGGCAGGCCTCTGTACAGCCACCTCTTCCTCATGTTCCAGCTCAGATAAAATGCCTCCTCCCCGGCCATGCTCCCCTAGCCCCACAGAAGAGGTTTTTGGTTTTTTTGTTTGTTTGTTTTTTAATCTTTAAGCTTTTTATGTATGAAAGGTAGACAGGCAGAAAGAAACAGCTTTACCCATCAAATGCCTTCAACAGCTTAGTCTGGGCCGAAAGGAGGAGAGACAGCAGGATTCAGGAGACAGAGACGGTCAAACTTAGCATCTCTGATGTGGGATCCAGGAGCCGAGGCCTTCTGCACCCCACACACTGCTTCCTTCATTATCACACTTGATGCTTTCCATGGCGTATCTAACGCTCAGAGATGACCCGCCCACCGAGTCATTTATTTGTATACGGTCTGGCTCCTGCTCTTGGCATACCTTGCCCAGATTGCCCCATAGACAGGTTTGGAAACATCAGAAGAAATGACAGAAATGTAGCTACTCCCAGGCACAAGATGCAGCCATTGCCCCACAGCTGCTGGCTCGCCAGGCCCCCAGCCCAGCCAACCCTCAGCTGGCCCCCTTACCTTTCCGCACAGTGAGCTTGATGACGGTGGACTTGACTACCTCGCCTCCCACCACGGCACAGCATTGGTAGTCCCGGCTGTCAAGAAACTCGGCCTTGTGGATGGTAAAGCCATACCAGGGTGAGAAGGAGTAATTGGTTTGACGCCTGACAGGCCGGTTGTGCAGGCGCATCAGGGAGACATCTGCAGCCAGCGCAGGGTCAGTGAGCAGACAGGGTAGCAAGGCGTCCTGCCCCTCGTCCACCGCCACCTCGTGGACCAGCACATTCCAGGGCCGGACGGGGTCTGCAGCAGACAGAGCGCAGAGTCACCTCGGTTTGGTCTTAAATCCCTGCATGTCGTGGACAGGGGACAGAGAGGGTCCCACAGGCCAACAGCTTGCCCGAGAGCACGTCATGCCAAGAAGCTGCCCTACAATGCTGCACAGTCAGAGGCCTGACTGCCCTGCACTCAGAGGCACCTGGGCTGCAGTCTAGCCCTACGACTCAATGCTGTGTGACCTTGGGCAGATGACTCAACTCCTCTGAGCCTCTGGGAAATGGGCAAAATCTTCAAAATGACCACCCAGGTTTATTGTGCAGTGTTAACTGAGAAATGCTACTCCGACAGCCCAGAACTGGTTTACTGGTAAGGGCCGGGCAAAGGGGCTGACCCTTTTGCCCCATTTGGGAAGGTGCCCCGAGTCCTCACCTTTGACGTAGACATGGATGGTGGCACTGCCCCCTAGGGGCTCTCCAAGCTCCGTGCAGCGGTAGGTCCCCGTGTTTCTGAAGGTGGCATTGTTTGTGATCAGGATACTGTTGGGGGCGTCCGGATCCAGGTTCCAGTGGGAAGAGATGGGGCCACCCCACATCACAGTGCCATTGCCCATGCACCGCAGAGTCACTGTCGCGCCCGGTTCCACGAGCAGCTCAGGGCCTCTGGGTTCTATCACGGGCACGCCTTCTCCACCTAATGCAGAGGCAGCAGACAGCAGGGTAAGCCCTGTGTGTGTCCTAGCACTGTCCTCCCCCCAAAACAGATGGCTGCAGCCCTGGCTGAGGAGGTGCTGGGCTCGGTCCGCACACACCTCAGCATCTCCCCCCACCAAGGCATTTGTTTGGCTCCCAACCCTCAACCTGTTGAGAAATAGATCATTCTCTGTGAGGGCACTTCACTCTGTGGACACGGTCAACCCTGGGTACGTGGCGGGCTGTGTCTCCGGCTCCAAGCAGGCCTCAAACAAGCCAATGAAAAAATGAACAAGGGCGGAAGGTCTTGCCAGCAGAGTCGGGCTCTGAGCATCTGCTGTTGTGCCCACTCCAACTCCCACTTGACATCTGATTTGCAGCCCAGCGGGATGGATCAGAGGCTCCGTGCCTCAGTTTCCCCATGTATAAAGCTGAGACAATTGTACCCATTTGTTGACCTGTCGGGCAGTCTGAACGCTCGACAACCTTTTAGAATACCTTGTGTTACAGAATTGGTGGTCAGGGTTAGCCACAGTGTTTAGGGTGTAGGCATCCACCCTTGGGGCTGCCTCACTGAGGCGCCAGTGTCTTTTAAGGAAATTTTTCTTGAAGGAGAAAAAAAAAGAACTTGACCTTCCCTCACACATACACCCCAAATCTGGCCCGCCAGGAAGAAGGCCCCCGGGTTCTGCAGCGTCAGCACTTCTCTGGCACCTAAATATGGGCTCAGGAGGGAAGTGAGAGCTGATTCAGGGCCTCCTCCAGGGGTGGGGGGAGAGGGGGCTGCCCGGCGCCCCCTGGCCTGCAGAGGCGGAAACACATTGCTGGCACCCGGCTTGGGTTCAGTGCTGGTTTCCGCTCAACCAGCAGTCCTTTAAGCAGGGATGTTCTCACTTCTGCTTCCCGGAGCAGAGATGCCCCCAGGACAGGGAGGGTCACCTACTTCCTGGGACAGGGACCATGGCACAAGGCGGCCTCTCCTTCACACTCTGCAGAACCACTCCCCGGGGTCCCCCTTTTAGTCGGGTGACTTCTGCAGCCACCTCACCCCCGACCCCAAGCCTCTCTCCACTGCCTCTGGGTGGCTTCATTAATGTCTTGAGATCATACCCAGGAGACAGTTGTATAGTCTCAGCCCAGGCTTCTGATCAGCAAACACGCCGAGAGACCAGTGATTACCATCAAGGCCGGCACCCAGAGGCTGTACCCTTCCACGCAGTGTGACTCCCGCACCCCTGGGAACAGCATCAGATGACGGCATTGTCAAGGGTTCTCAGCCGAGCTGGCGCACCCCACCGCAGCTGCAGCACCTAGCTGGGGTTTACTGCAGGACATGTGCAAAACATGGGCTCGCTGTTTGGGGTTTGGTTGAGTAAGTAAGTGGAAGTGGCTAGGCCACTGAGCCACGGGCTCCTGCCTCACTGCATGAATCCCAGAGGACTGCTGAGGAGGAAGTAAGGTGACAAATGGCTCCTCGCCTGCTCCTGCCCTACGCCACAGCTTCCATCGCCACGTAGCTATTGGCCCCTTAGGGACAGAAGTGGATTTTCAGCCCCAGAGGTCAGATGCTCCGACTGCACATCCCCCAGTCTGTGACCCTGGGCTACTCATGCTCTTGACACGTCCCATCCTGTAGTTAGCTGCTCCCACCCCCTGCCCATCTCTCCCACTCCGGCCTTGGCCTCCTGGATGTGTTGACATGGACAGAAGACAGACATCTGTCCCGCAGCGGCAGATGCTCATGCAGGACACATCTGCTGCCAACTTCCCCTTGCTGACTTGGCCTGCGGGAAGGGAAGAGGCGCCCGCTCGGCCCTGTCCTCCCGGGGGTGGGGGTTTGGCAAACACGGACCCAGGCCGCTCATCATCATGCTCCCCTCAGTTCCCGCAGGGGACCCCCAGCCCTCAACACACACACACACACACACCCAAGGCTGGGCTCAGTGGCTCCCAGGGAGCAGCTTGGCACTTGCCATCTCTGAGGGACTCCAGTGCCCAGCCAACCCCTTCCTGTCCTGTCCTCCTATCCCCAAGGCCAGCTCACTCACTCACCACTGGCCTGTTGGGTCAAGAACTTCTACTTCTAGTCCTCTGCCTGGGGCTGCTGGACCCTGGAAAACTCTCCCTACCAACACCCCCACCTTCTCTCCAGCAATGATCCACGGCAGGTTCCTAGGGTGAGGACAGGATGTGGCAAAGTCAAACCTGTGCCGCTTCCAGGCACATGTGCATCTGGCCAAGGCTCATCTGGCCACACATGTGCTTCCTACTCGATGTCAAGGATATCTCAATGGAGACAGCAGAATGCTCAGCCAGGCGCAAGACAGCCCTTCGGCGGGCAGCCTGTCCCTCTCCTCCACTCTGGGGCCAGAAAGCCAACCCCACAGTCCTCCTGTGGAGAGCCAGAGAGAAGCCGCCTTCCTCCTCCCTCACCCCCGTCCTCATCACTCCGATCCCTCTAAATACGCAGCCCTCATCTCTGGGGGCAACTCATAGACAAAAATCCTGTAGCAAGTGTGGCTGCTGGTGGGGTCGGGTGGGGTGGGAACCCCTGGGCAGCCAGGGCTGGGAGGGCTCTGGCCACAGACACTCCAACTGGCCTCTTCCAGTCCAGCCGTATAGCCTACATCTCCCCACAAATCCCTCTCCCAAGTGCCAGGTCTAGGATGCCTGACTCTCTCCTTCCAACCTCTTATTTGAACCCCCAATGAAGGAACACAGCCCCTTTGAGTGGGAGCCGGGTCCTGCCTAGAGTCGCAGGAGGAATCATGGGAGGTCAGAGCCATCAGAGGCACCAAACTCTTTGGAGCACAGGTCCCTCTCTGGGAAATGCACCCACTGATCCAGGATCTGCTCTGGAACAAGATGCCCAGATAGCTTCCTGTGTGCTAAGCTTTCACTGCCCCAGCCACCTGCCAGCGAAGAGTCAAGGATGAGAGCCCCAGATCTCAGTGACCTGCTCAGGATCTGCAGGGAGAATCCACGGCTGGACTTGAACAGAGCCACAGAACTGGCTGGGCTGGTTCCTCCCAATTCCCCCACACCATCCTCCTTGTCACCCACTGCCTTTCCAAAGCCTGAAGTCCTGTGCTGGGGAGCTGGAAGCGCACGGTGGCAGAACTCCAGAGGAGGCACTCTATCCCACATCCACCGAAGTCCTGGGCCCTGGGGCCTCTTACCTTGCCACGATGTGGCTGCCAGCAGGACCAGTAGAGCCCCTGGGCCCATGGCCTTGGCGGACGCAGCAGGCACAGGGCAGGACAGAGTCCCGGGCTGCCAGCTCTGTCGGGGCACAGGCCCTCCAGACTCTTGTCCCTCAGCAGTGCTGCTCTTGCTTCCCTCTTCCTTCTCCTTCTCTTCTTCCTCCTCCTCAGGCTGATCCTCTTCTTCCCCTTTCAACTAGGCAAGGCAACCACAGAGTTTGGAAATCTTGGGTCTTTAGAAGAAAACAAAGCCATGACCCCCAGGGGGAGGGGTTGGCGCCTGGGGCAGTACCAATCCCAGTCCAGCGGGGAACTGGCAAATCTGGGGTGGGCAGGGACTGGGGAAGACACCTCCCAGAGGCCGGGAGAGAAGACACGCCCAAGAGCCGGCAGGTGGTCAGCAGCACCAACGAGGGGGGTGCCCAGAGTCCAGATAATGAAGTCTCATGATACTCGCCAGCAAGCCTTTGCCGGCTCTCGGTGCTGCTGACATCTTGTGACACTCGTGTTTGATCTTTGCTCCTGACTTCTGACAACAACTTGTAAAATCCTTGGAATCCCAAATAGCACGTCTCCGTGTGTGTACTTACGAGCTGGCTCAGGGATGGGTGCTGGGCAGCAGAAGGACCTGGCGGATTTGAGGGCAAGAACCCAATTTGCTTCTGCTTATCTTCCCACAGGGCGGTACTGTCAGCATTCCCATTTTACAGATGGGAAAGCTGAAGCTCTGAGACATCAAAGTCCTAGAATGTGCCCATGATCACACGACACCCAAGGGAAAAGGTGGAATTTGGAGCCAGGCAGTCCGGCTTTTGTGGATTAACGAAGAATCTCATTATTCTATCACATCCCTTGCTTTGCACATGTAAAAAAACTTCTGGGTTCACGTATTCCTTCTGGTGTCTAACTTGTTGAAACAAAACCTACAGCAGTGCTCCAGGAAAGCAGTCCTGCTCGCCTTGCACTCTGGTGTGTGTGTATTAAGAAAGGAATTTAAAGCCAGATAAGAACCAGACTCACTTAAACACTAGCCTGGGGGGCGGGGGCGACGGGCGATCCCTTAGCCATGCAAGACCACGAAGGACAGGTTAGTCCTCCCTGACTGACCGTAAAGAAGTAAATAACTCAACAGGGTGTGGGCTTCCGGTCCTGGCTGTTTTCCGGGACGAATAGCATGGAATCCACGGCGAGCAGACAGTGCTTACGCTGGTCTCAGCACGCAACGCAGCAAGCGCTCTGCGGTGACCTGCCGTCCTTTTATCTGTGTCTTTAAGCTGCTGGGACATCACATCAGGACACCTGTGCTCGGGATCTGCCTGCGCGCATCCTTATTTTGCCACAAATATTGGTACGCCTTCACTCGCTCCCTGAAAGCCTACAAAGAAAAGCTGAGATTGTGAAACCCAGGGCGTTTAGGGTTAATAAATTACACAGGTTAATGCCTCGGGACCTTGAAATGAGTCCTTAGATTTGTAAGCAAAAAACACTAACAACCAAAAGACGTCATCAAAATTGAACGTTTTTGGTACACTCCAGGGAGTAGAATAATAATAATAATAGAATGAAAAAGGTGTATATTTGCAAGAGGACGGCCACTCAGTGCTCCGGCTGCTGCGTTTCCAGCCCCGCTCTGCTACCATCTCAGGGACAGCAGCAGGGGACGGTCCGACGGCCTCAGTCCTTGCAGCCCTGTGCAAGAGCCAGGCCGAGTTCCAAACTCCTGGCTCCACCTGATCAGACCCGACCACTGTGGCTATTTGGGGAGGGAACTAGTAGATGGAAGATTTCTATCTGTCCCTCTCTGAATTTCAAATACATCCTTTTTAAAAGTACATGGAAGGAAAATGGAATTAGAAGTATCATTTTTATGAATTCTATTAGGTTCAAGATACTTTTGTAAATTATGGTATCAGCCATTTAGTCCATACCTAAAGGACTGAGTTTGGAATCTTACCCATATCAACGCATTCTTCTTTATATTACTAACTCAAGGAAGTGGAGGTCCCTTAAATTTTTTTTTTAAATTTATTTTATTTTTATTGGAAAGTCAGATATACAGAGAGGAGGAGAGACAGAGAAGAAAGTCTTCCATCCACTGATTCACTTCCCAAGGTGCTACAATGGACAGAGCTTAGCTGATCTGAAGCCCGGAGCCTATGGAGCCACCAGAATTAGAACCGTGCCCAAATGGGATCCCAGAGCAGGCAAGGCGAAGACTTTAGCCACTAGGCTATTGCACCGGACCCTCAAAACTTCCCTTCTATCCTATGCTTCAGTTGTCCATTTCCCAGAAATAAATATTCCCAGCTTTCTATGTTTTCAGCCATCTGTTAAGGATATACAAGCAAATGTGTATATGTATATGTGTGTATAACAAATTTTGCTTCCTAATCCTAAAAAAAAAAAAACTTAAGGGGGCCTGGTGTGGCAGCCTAGCGGCTAAAGTCCTTGCCTTGAACGTGCCGGAATCCCATATGGGCACCAGTTCTAATCCTGGAAGCCCCCCTTCCCATTCAGCTCCCTGTTTGTGGACTGGGAAGGTAGTCGAGGATGGCCCAAGGCCTTGGGACCTGCAACCTCATGGGAGACCCGGAGGAGGCTCCTGGCTCCTGGCTTCAGGTTGGCTCAGCTCCAGCCATTGCTGCCACATGGGAGGTGAGTCAGCAGACAGAGGGTCTTGCTGTCTGTCTCTCCTCCTCTCTGTGTATCTGACTTTCTAATAAAAAAAAAAATCAGGAAGCAAAGAAGTCAGAGGGAATCCAATCCAGAGTCAAGGTGGATGCCTGATGATTGCCAGCGAAGCTCTTACAAAGTCGCCCGTGTCTCCCCCAGGTCCGACGAGAGGAAGGGACGAGTGGAAGGTTCTGGTGAAGCTTTTAAAGGGATGTTTAAAATTTCTTTTTCAGCTATGGCCTTGGCCACTCTTCTCAAAACTCTCCTATAACAAGCATTATTGTCTTTGTTCCTCCAGAAAGTCAGCAAGCAAAGTGCGTCGAGCTTCCCTAAAAGCTGTGGCTGCGGCATTGATCCTTGGCCTCTTCCCACTGTGGCTCAGCCTGGACCCTCCTCCTGGACCCTGATAGGGGTCAGCAGCAGGTGACCTTGTGCTTGGGCTACACCTGAGGAAATGGAAGGCCGTGACCTTGCGTCAAACAGGCCAAACGTGGATTGTTCCAGCACTTCGGAAAGTTTCTGCTGAGACACCAGAGTTGGGACAACAATGATAACGTCAGCAGATACTGTCTGATACATCCCCAGTGACACAACTGCGTTCCCCACCTTTTCCCAGTTCCTGCCTCTTGGCACATAACCTCCTGAAGGCTCTGGCTTCTGGGCGACCCTGCTTCACACTCCCCAAGGGAGCCCTCCTGAGCCTCCCGGTCAGTGCCACACCTTGGTTTGCCTCTGATTTCCTTCTCACCCAGGGGTGGCTGCACTCCCCTGGCCCACACCCGGGCAGCCTCCACTTCGCTCTGTCCCCTAAAGCCTCATCCACCCGCGGGACGCCGCCTCCAAGAACTTCTTCAGGATTTCTGTCGCACTCATTACAAACTTGAACGCAAAGCTGTGCTCTTGCCTACAGGCCATCTGGACACAGCAGCCCTGGCACCTGTGGAGTGGGAAATTCACACCCTTTGATCTTTGAATTATATGAGCCGAACTTGTTCTGTTGTACCCAGATTTTTGAGAATCTCCAGAAAACACCAGGAGTCTGAGGTCGATCCAAGTGCACAAGGATGGTTTATTCAAGCTCAGCACATCCGAGCCTGGGTTCTTGGTTGAGAGCTGGCAGCTGGCTGGCCAACCTGCTGCCAGCTGGGACCAATACCCCTTACTGGGAGTGTGGCCCCAAATGGCACATTCACAGCGTTTTCATAGGGGCAGTCCACAATAGCTTGAAAAGGGGCAATTCACAATAGTCTGCAAGGTGAGGGGAGATACCACACACTCCCTACCTGTCTGGCTGGACAGCCCAACCTCCAGCAACTAAGGGAAGCACCCACTTAGTTACCTGGAGCCACCAGTAGATAACCAGACTTAGGTGGGCCTTAATTCATAAGAATTGGGGTCCATCAGTGCTGAAGGCCATTTAGGCCGTTTGGCCTGCAAGCTCATAGTTTCTTAGTAGCAATGAGCCATGAGCAAATGGTTGGGATTTTGATACTGAGGTTCTTCAGTTCTATGTCTCCAATCTTGGCTATTGTTTCTGCCATTAGCAGTCCATCTTCTTCAAGGAGGGCACAAAAAGACACCTTTTTCCTGCCAGAGTGGTCATTGGCCTACACCCATATCTCTGGAATGTCCTGGTTCAATACCTCCTTCTGGCCCCCCTGATTCTAGTCTCCTGATTATGCTGATCTTACTAGGCCTCCCACATGGGAGACCAAACCGAATTCCCAGCTCTGGTTTCAGCCTGGCGCAGTACTGGCGGTTTCAGGCATTTGGGAGCTGAGGCAGTGGATGGAAGATGCTTCTTTGTGTGTGTGCAAGTATGTTCATATGTTCATATTTCCTCTCTACCTTTCAAATAAAATGCATTTTGAAATTTTTAACTTTTTGAAGACCCTCATGTAAGAGGGTCTAATGAGGGTCACTGTCATGGCCTTGATAAGGATTTCGCATCCAGAAAAAAAAATTTTTTAAAAGATTTATTTTTATTGGAAAGGAAGAGGTATAGAGGGAAGGAGAGACATAGTGAAAGATTTTCCATCCTCTGGTTCACTCCCCAAGTGGCCACAGTGACGAGCTGAGTTGATCCAAACCCAGGAGCTTCTTTCGGGTTTCCCACAAGGGTATGGGATCCAATGACTTTGGTTCACCCTCCAGTGCTTTCCTAAGCCATGAGCAGGGAGCTGGATGGGAAGTGGAGCGGGTGGGACATGCACAGGTGCCCATACGGGACAATGAAGCTTGAAGGAGGAGGATGAGTCAACCAAGCCATTGCACCAGGACCTAGTATGCATTCCTGTGAAAGTGGTACCATCTCTTTCCAACCCAACAAAGGACAATACCTAAATATCCGCCAAAAGACCAGCTATTTCTTCGGAGAAGACATACAAATAGCCAATGAGCACAAGAAAAGATACTGGATGTTACCAACCATGACAGAAATACAAGTCAAACTGCAGTGAGAGACCACTTCACATCCACAGGTTGGTCGGGACTTAAAAGTCAGAAGATACCAAGTGT